GAGTTATACGGGAAGTGGGCTTTGTCACCTGACGGCTTTAGAATGCAATAAGGTGGCAAATGCCGGTCTCATCCTTAACGCCGGAAGTCAAATGTCATTATGAACACGAACCTGCTGATGCAGCTGATCTACAGGTGCAACTGAGAGGTGAAGCCCTTCAGAGAAGTTGATCAATTTATGTATCTCGGCTTCATCATTTCCAGCGATGGCACTCTCAAGCCAGAATTAAGTAAGAGAATCACCCTAGACCCGAAAGCTATTGGATACGTGTCCAATATTTTGGTTGAAAAAGGAGTTATTCTTTACACGAACATCTGACTGTACCCTGCCTCTGTCAAGTCACTGTTGTTGTACGGGATGGAGGCAGTTGTTCTAACGAAGGAGCAAAAACGACGGTTGAACTACGTACAGAAGCGTTCGCTTCGAGGCATAATGAGTTAAATGGCAAGGCCACGTAAAGAATGACAATTCTGTTATGGGCACAGATTATGCCGTTAGCCATGGAGATTAAAAAAAACAGGTTGGCTCTGCCAAACAAACTGGCTGAGCATACTCCAGCTCGCGAGTTTCTCCTGTCGCAGCTGGAGCACACCAGACATCTACCAGGAGGCCAGCATACAATGTGAAGGAACAACGTAGAGGTAGATCTGCTTTAGAAAAGGTATCGTTCTTTGTAGGATGGAGTAACCGGTGCCTTATAATAGAAGTGATCAAAAGGTGAGAATACAGCAAACGTCGCAAACAAGAGAAACTCCGCTTATGCGAACGCCTCATGGTGATTTCAACAGACACAAGTCATTTGTCGCCAAAAGAATGCCAGAACTATTAACATTCGAAGTGATATTTCTGTTCTTCACAAACGCTGGGTTTATTCGTTACCGTTTACCTAAATTTATTTGTTGACAGTTGTTTCGAGGAACCGGACGGATAATAAACAAGATCCTTTTTATTAACTTCGTGTGTCTAACACCTTGTCATTCGAAAAGGCGAAAGCATGTCGTACCCCCAGGGGCACTAAGAAACATAACCTCCCATTCGCTTCAAAAACATTTCGGAGCGTGCAAATTAGTTAAAGAAAAGCGTACTGAGCAAAAGCATCGATAAAATAACAATCGATCAACCGTTGGAGTCAACAAAATAAGTTATTTGCTTTCGAGTTAGAAACTTTCCCGCGAAACCACTAAATTGAACACTAATCAAAATTACAATTAATTACCGCAGAAAGTTGTACACAACGATCATTAACAGGGGAAATTTGCATGTATTAGTCTATACGGTACTTCAGTAGATTTATGCATACCTAAAATGTATTTGTAATTTTACAAATATATCTGGTGTTGCGTGTGAAATAGGATTACAGAAAACCGTAGCTTTTGTAGAAGAACCACAATAAAATGTCAACTTCACCGCTAACTAACCATCATTCGTTTTCATGATTCTTCGAAACTCGGATATATATAGAATAGACGGACATATATAGTTATAACACTAGACACTGTGCACGGTTTTGTAGTATGCGCGTGATTATCATGCTGGAACGCAGTCGATTTTGCTGACGGCAACTACGTTACGTAAGATAATTTCGTGAACTCTAACTACATGGTGCTAATATTTCCAGCGATGACGTTATCGAATCGGAGTCAAATTAAAGTTTCGCCGTTGCTTTCGGTGCATTCGGCATCCTGAGTATATCTAGGCTAGCAAAAGAGCATTTCTTCCGACAAAGATCTGCCAGCAAGTGTCCTCAGCCACTCCCGCGTTGCTTCTTCTTTTCGTATGACACTTAGGAGCGCATCACGAAAGCTCAGCGATAAAGTTGGAAATCCAATGAAAAGCAGTGTTCGACGTTTCGCTACTTCCGCGGTAATACCCTTTAGTGCTGCTGTACCGCATGAAGGCAGTTATTAGAAAGACAGGAAACAACACAGAGAGCGTTGGCTTCGCCGCATACGGCGGGAGAAATGACCCTATATTCCATTTTCGAAGCATGTCCTTAGGGTGCATGTACAGATTACCTCAATTCTGAGGTTCTCATGCGGGACTAAAAATACGGCAGACACCCAAGAGGCCAGCATGCAAAATCAGTGGTGTCGCGGGCATATACTTTGCTCGAGCCACAACTTCGAGTTGACGTGACGTGCGAATGCCACTCGTTTGCGTCTTACTCAGTGAAGCCGGGTCGTATCGATGCAGACAAGTCCTGCTATAAGGACTGGAAACGACTGCACTCTCACGACCACAGGATTATCGACTGGACAGCCCACAACTGTGCTGGTTGCATCGGCTGCTGTTGTTGTTGCTTGCAATCGTCATTATTAAGCATCATGGTCAAGGATCAAGTACTCAGATTAATGTGTGCGCCGGAAGCACTGAGGGACAAAAGGTGGGCATGGTTCGATCATTTACAACGATGCGACGAAGCCATATTGGCTCGTCAACAGCTGATGTAGGAACCCAAACAGGGACGGCGAAACATCAGTGATAAACACATCACATGACAGAGAAAACGAAAGATCACATGGAGATCTGTTGCCGATTAGGAATTTTTCCATCATCGACACATTTAGCAACTCCTCATATCAAAATGTGATAAGTGGAGCTTGCGGGTTTGCAAGGACGCCAAAGATGATTATGACAAGCAGAAACTGTCGGTGCTTCGAGGCCATGAATTTGCGCCCTGCTCAAATGGTCCCCCCCAGGCGTCTAAAAGCAAGGGGGCGGTGCAACACTGCCGTAAAACCCGGCGTAATGGCATGAATCGTCATTCACTAAGGTAGTATTGGTGTAAACCAAAATGTAAAAGACATAGGCAGATCTATATTCGCAAAACATATTTCTTCTACGATGTACTAACAGATGCGCCCTAGCAACTGTTAAAAACCTGAGAATGCAGCGCACGCTGCAAACCAGAAACAGCGTGCTTATTCAAACAACTCAAGTTGACGACTGCAACCAATATACACAACAACAAACTCGTGGTAAAAATCGTTAATTATCCCATTCAATAACATAAGCACGACATTCAGTAATAATTTATAATTTTACATAACTCAAAATTATTGATCTGCCGCATAATAAACCACGAATGATGTTTTGGTCTGTATCTTATGAACCCGGCGCAAAGTAATGCAGTTGATATTCGATTCTTATTGTTGTCGACATCACAGCACTTCGGAGGCTGCCTGCTGTAAAGATCTACGGTACGTCATCGTCATTTAGATACGTGCCATGGGCTGCAGGGTCTCAACTTATGGCATTCAAAGAACGGCAAGCAGAGTTGCATGATTCCAAGCAAGCTCCTGTACTGCCCCGAAGATGTTCCTAAACCACTGCAAATTTGCTGGTATAGCACCTTTGCAGGTTGAGTTCATGAATGCGGAAAAGTGAGCACCGTCGCTGAGTTCCCTTTCCGTTTGAGCGTGTAGGTGATCCTCATTTCAGTTCGTTCAGGAACCGCTGAATACGCCGCCAGTCAAAAAGGAAATAAGAAGAAAATAGAAGTCTGAATCATTGACGTGCCAGTCTCATTTACACTTCTGTAATAAGCACCTTTTATTCATGACGTTTATGAAACTATTTTAATCTCTATTTCAATGCTATCAGCCAAAAGTGTCACACTGAAGGTTCACTTATGCAATGAGCTACTAAAGTTGGTAACCCCATGGTTTCATGCTGATAGAAAAAAACAAGACGTGCCTTACAGGCCAGCATTCGAATCAAAACCATCCGACTGTGAATACAGCACTACAACGACCAGCTAGGTAAAGAGATGAGCATCGGTTCATCTCGGAAAGAGGTACTGTCACGTGTCGTGCACGCCTATGACGGTCCTCAGCTTTACGACCATAAATATTGCGGCGTCAAGCAGCTTATATTAAGTGACTTCGTATTCAGTTAATTAGCCATCCGTAAACAATGCCATGTACTTGACGAAAGGGCGTTGAACAAAACAAGTTTATCCATTCATCGTCAATAACGACGGCGAATACTCATCTGATTGAGGATCGGCCATAAATACGTTACATCGCCAAACAGAAACTCATTGCAGCAGCGTCTCGGTACGAATCGGGATAAGCAGTCGCACGGCAACCAATTCGACCACGTCAATCAAGGAGTCAGTGTTACGAATCTGGGCCTACATGTCTATCGTACCGACTAGGGCAGTCACCATCGTTGTTCGGCTCAGATTCCTCATCAATATCACCAGTTTCCTTCTGCCGCATGGTCATTCGCCATAAACGCACGCGTCTATGCACTGTGAAACATTTTTCTACTCTTTACAAGCTGCTCTAAGTTTCGTTTGGCTTAAAGCTGCCGATGGAAAATATTTAAAACGGGCGGAAAGTAAATCTCTACCATTTTCTGCAGCAGCAGAGTTGAATACTTGATTTGGCGCATAAATCTTTTTGCCCACTTTACCTCATACTCATTTTCGCGCAGCTACCAATAAATCGATAAAAATCGTTACAAAAGATGCGAAAATTATGCAAATCATATGACGTTTCACCGTACGTTTGGTAATACCTAGATAAACGCAATCTCAGTAGAAGTATAAGCTATGTCTTACCGGAGCTTCACCGCTTAAACATGAAAAACATGGCTGAGTAAAAAGAAACCTGTCCAAAGCAGCTGTATGCAATTTATCCAGGAACTACTGACAACGGAGACAACACAACGCAAGGGTGATACTAATATTTATCTGCGTACACTGATTAAACTATTTGAATTGATTACCGGGCTTTAATCGATCAGCGTTTTGGCACGTGATCGGATTTAGCGTGCGGAGGTCGTTCACCGAGAATGAATTACGCTCCCGGCTTCGGTACATTCGCCGAAAGCGCAGAATACACGCAAATTCCCAACCTCGACGCTAAGATTATTACGTCTGTGGAAGAGAAGCGAAAACAAAATAGAGGAATGAACGACGTGTTGTACAACTGCGTTTGCGGTACCGGCCGTCGCTGAAAACGAAACAGCATGAAACCGCAGAGTTGTGGGCATCGCTCCCTTTCAACATCTACTCAAGCCAAAAACACAGGTCGCCCATCTTTCCTCATTCGTCACCCAAGCAGTAACCACTCACGTTCAGAGATACGGTACTTCAGGGGCCACAGCGATCTACTTTTAGCTTGATCTGCTCAGTGGGTAAAACGCCAGACTCGGAAATGACAGATGCCATGCTCCAGCTCCGATCAGGTCACTCGCTTTCTTCCTTCCGAGGTTAATAAACGAGTATCACTATGTGAAAAGAAACCAGGGTACAACACGCCATGTTTGATTCTGCCTTTACTCGGTTACTCAAACAGAACACTTCTGGCTGATGGGCATAGAAACAGAGATCAATGCCGCACCAAAAAGGTTCATGAACAGAAGATAGCCACAAGCAGCCTCACATGAAAGCGTAAGGGAAGCCAACAAAGCAACAATTAAAAACTTCGGTGGAAGCGTGGTCTGCATAAATGGTCCCCTAGGCGGGTAGCTAGAAGCTTGCTGACGAAGCCATTACGCAGTTACAATCCGGTATCAAAGAGAAAATGTAATTAAAAAGTTCCCTTTGTTTTGTTGATCCATTTCTAGTGAAGTCGACATTATGACGGCTGTTT